AGTCAGTAAGTATTGTGACAGAATGTTCTTAGTGTGACATGAGTACTTAAACTAGTTGCCACATCTAGTGGTTGTGTCAGTCAGTAAGTATTGTGACAGAATGTTCTTAGTGTGACATGAGTACTTAAACTAGTTGCCACATCTAGTGGTTGTGTCAGTCAGTAAGTATTGTGGCAGAATGTTATTTGTGTGACGTGAATACTTAAACTAGTTGCCACATCTAGTGGTGGTGTCAGTCAGTAAGTATTGTGACAGAATGTTATTTGTGTGCCGTGAGTACTTAAACTAGTTGCCACATCTAGTGGAGGTGTCAGTCAGTAAGTATTGTGACAGAATGTTCTTAGTGTGACGTGAATACTTAAACTAGTTGCCACATCTAGTGGAGGTGTCAGTCAGTAAGTATTGTGACAGAATGTTCTTAGTGTGACGTGAATACTTAAACTAGTTTCCACATCTAGTGAAGGTGTCAGTCAGTAAGTATTGTGACAGAATGTTCTTAGTGTGACATGAGTAGTTAAACTAATAGGGGGAAATACCAGGAAATACTGTGGCATCTGCTCTCTCTTTCAGGGCACTGTCATCCCTCCGCCTGTTTAAGTGGAGCTAGGGGCTGAAGGCGGTGTTGGTTGGAGGAGATATGATGGTATTGGTTGGAGGAGATATGACGTTGGAGGAGATATGACAGTATTGGTTGGAGGAGATATGACGGTATTGGTTGGAGGAGATATGACATTATTGGTTGGAGGAGCTATGGTGGTATTGGTTGGAAGAGATGTCTTGCGTGTCCAACACACATCTGTTACAGGAACAGGAAAGTACAGTTGTTGTATAGTATTAATTGTATATATTTTGAGACATTAATTGTACATATTTTGGATAATATAAGGCTTAAAAGAATTGTTTCTCAGGCAGTGACTTTTAAAAATATAGTGTTCGTGGGCGGTTTTTGTTGTTGTTTTTTTTCTTTGCTTGATCAAACTAGTATGTAACCAAATAAACAGTTGTGTACCATCAATCTGGGAAATGGCCTCCTTACATAAACAAGTATTCAAACTCCTATTGCTGCCATAACTATGACACAAGATGCACAGTAAAGCAGTTTGCATGTAAAGGGAAGTAACTGTGTGCTAAAGTGGATCGCAAGTATTAGGATTTAAAATTTATTTTATTTGAAAATGGAATTAAAAACCAAACTTTATGATGATGCGGGCAGTTCCTGAGAACCAAGACTATTACTTTTTTAGGTCTAAGGGAAATATGTACTGTTGAAGAGGCTGACGTATGAAATATATTGTATACATGTCGCAAACTGGTATGATATATTGTATAATTGTTTGAAACTGGTATGATATGTTGTATTAATGTTTCAAACTGGTATGATGTAATGTATAAATGTTGCAAACTGATATATTTTGTTTAAATGTTACAAACTGGCATGATATAACAGGTGTAAACTTGTATGATATTTTGTATTAGCAGCTGCAAACTGGTCAATTTTGTATAAATGATGCAACCTGGTATGATTTATTGTGTAGCAGCTGTAAACTGGTAAATCTTGTATAAATGTTGCAACCTGGTATGATTTATTGTGTAGCAGCTGTAAGTGGTAAATTTTGTGTAAATGTTGAACCTGGTATGATTTATTGTATAGCAGCTGTAAACTGGTAAATTTTGTATAAATGTTGCAACCTGGTATGATTTATTTTGTAGCAACTGTAAACTGGTAAATCTTGTATAAATGTTGCAAACTTGTATCATTTATCTCAAATACCAGCTACCAGTACCAGATATGTTGTACCAATGTTACAAACTGGTATGATTTATTGTATAGCAGCTGAAAACTGGAACATTTTGTATAAATGATGCAACCTGGTATGATTTATTGTATAGCAGCTGAAAACTGGAACATCTTGTATAAATGATGCAACCTGGTATGATTTATTGTATAGCAGCTGAAAACTGGAACATCTTGTATAAATGATGCAACCTGGTATGATTTATTGTATAGCAGCTGAAAACTGGAACATCTTGTATAAATGATGCAACCTGGTATGATTTATTGTATAGCAGCTGAAAACTGGAACATCTTGTATAAATGATGCAACCTGGTATTATTTATTGTGTAGCAGCTGAAAACTGGAACATCTTGTATAAATGAGGCAACCTGGTTTGATTTATTGTATAGCAGCTGCAAACTGGTAAATTTTGTATAAATGATGCAACCTGGTATGATTTATTGTATAGCAGCTGCAAACTTGTAAATTTTGTATAAATGTTGCAACCTGGTATGATTTATTGTGTAGCAGCTGTAAACTGGTAAATCTTGTATAAATGATGCAACCTGGTATGATTTATTATGTAGCAGCTGTAAACTGGTAAATTTTGTATAAATGTTGCAACCTGGTATGATTTATTGTATAGCAGCTGTAAACTTGTAAATCTTGTATAAATATTGCAACCTGGTATGATTTATTGTGTTATAGCTGTAAACTGGTAAATTTTGTATAAATGTTGCAACCTGGTATGATTTATTGTATAGCAGCTGTAAACTGGTAAATTTTGTATAAATGTTGCAACCTGGTATGATTTATTGTGTAGCAGCTGTAAACTGGTAAATCTTGTATAAATGATGCAACCTGGTATGATTTATTGTGTAGCAGCTGTAAACTAGTAAATTTTGTATAAATGTTGCAACCTGGTATGATTTATTGTATAGCAGCTGTAAACTGGTAAATTTTGTATAAATGTTGCAACCTGGTATGATTTATTTTGTAGCAGCTGTAAACTGGTAAATCTTGTATAAATGTTGCAAACTGGTATGATTTATTGTATAGCAGCTGTAAACTGGTAAATCTTGTATAAATGTTGCAAACCTGGTATCATTTATCTCAAATACCAGCTACCAGTACCAGATATGTTGTATCAATGTTGCAAACTGGTATGATATGTTGTATCAATGTTGCAAACTGGTATGATTTATTGTATAATATTGCAACCTGATATATTGTATACATGGTGCTACAATTGTGTGATTGTATGGACATGGCTAGACGGTATGAGAGATTGTATGTACATTACTAGCTGGTATGAGAGATTGTGAGTACATTGCTAGCTCGTATGAAAGATTGTGTACATTGTTAGCTGGTACAGGAGGTTAAGTACACATTGGCAGCTGGTATAAGAGATCGTGAACATTGCTGGCTGGTATGGCAGATTGTAAACATTGCTGGCTGGTATGAGAGATCGTGAACATTGCTGGCTGGTATGGCAGATTGTAAACATTGCTGGCTGGTATAAGAGATCGTGAACATTGCTGGCTGGTATAAGAGATCGTGAACATTGCTGGCTGGTATAAGAGATCGTGAACATTGCTGGCTGGTATAAGAGATCGTGAACATTGCTGGCTGGTATGAAAGATTGTGTACATTGTTAGCTGGTACAGGAGGTTAAGTACACATTGGCAGCTGGTATAAGAGATCGTGAACATTGCTGGCTGGTATGGCAGATTGTAAACATTGCTGGCTGGTATGAGAGATCGTGAACATTGCTGGCTGGTATGGCAGATTGTAAACATTGCTGGCTGGTATAAGAGATCGTGAACATTGCTGGCTGGTATAAGAGATTGTGAACATTGCTGGCTGGTATAAGAGATCGTGAACATTGCTGGCTGGTATGGCAGATTATAAACATTGCTGGCTGGTATAAGAGATCGTGAACATTGCTGGCTGGTATAAGAGATCGTGAACATTGCTGGCTGGTATAAGAGATCGTGAACATTGCTGGCTGGTATGGCAGATTGTAAACATTGCCGGCTGGTATGAGAGATCGTGAACATTGCTGGCTGGTAATATTTCATGTATTTGTATATTCCATCTGAGTGGAAACATGTTACTTAGGTCAGTCTCAGAAATGTTACTTACAGTATGTTTTGACTTTTCCATTTTGCATCAAGCCAGGCTTGTAAAATAAACCACGAGTGGGAGTTTTTTTATCGTACAATAAAACACTACAGGGAGAGTAAACCTCATGGTGTATTCTGCAGCACCCTCATGGTTTATTCTCCCTGCAGTGTTTTATTGTACGATTAACAGCGACAGGTCTTTTATTTCTTTTTATGAGATATCAACATTATGTAAAGTCTCTTTAAGGCTGATGATGAAATGTACATGCTTTATTAATATTTACCCGTATTTTAATAATAATGACTCCCTCAATAGAATCCGACCTCGGCAATCTCAGACATGTTCATTTTATGCACGGGTGGGTATTTCCCGCATATTCTCACAATCCTCACGTCGATTACCTGTATCTTTTCTCCCAATGACTATTGTCATATTTGTCCCACTTTACAGTGCGATCGTTCTCGTCGCGTTTAAAGCATAAGATTGGTTGGTTTGTTGTTTTACACAGCACTCAGCAATATTCCAGCTATATGACGGCGGTCTGTAAATAATCGAGTCTGGACCAGACAATCCAATGATTGATATTACGAGCATCGATCCACGCAATTGGGATCAATGATATGCATCAACCAAGTCAGCGAGCCTGACCACCCAATCCCGTTAGTCGCCTTTTACGACGAGCATAGTCACCTTTTACGGCAAGCATGGGTTGCTAAAGACCTATTCTTCCCGGAATCTTCACGGGTCTCAAGCATAAGATAGTATCTCAACCAATCCTTGTTGCCTCATCACACGACATATATTTTACAATTTCATATCCTGGGAAACGTACATTAACACTTCAACATTGGTGTGAAACATGATCATAACTAACTCATAAAGATCACCATGTTGCAAATAAAACATCATTGACCATTGTGTATAAAGCAAATATTGCGATCTCATGCATACATAAACAGGAGGTATACATGAAAGTCATTTTATTTCAATTTGTTTAGATCTTGTATGCATGATATACATAAAAGCAAGTGATATTTATGAGCTTGTTTGTGGAATATTTTACCAGCACTCAAGAGTCTACTTATACACTATTACCCTGAAGCAGTGCAGTTTTGTTAAAGGGACATCGCATCAAGTACGACCACAGGCTTTGATAATCAGCAGCCTTGATGATTGCCAATAAAATGTTTTCCTTTTTCCAACAGATGGCTGCACAATTTCCATGTTTATGATTCATTTCTGTGGCTAGTTTTGTGAGGACATTCAGACTGAAGCCATTGCCATGAGTTTATTATGATCTGAATCGTTGCTAGTGGTGTGATAACTGGACTGGTTCAAGATGTTGTGTGATGTAGCCCTCATCACAGGCTGTTTATGACAAGTAGTATGTCATGTTTTGTAGTGAAGTTTCATTTTGAGACGAGATTTTTTGTTTGTTTATCATTGCACTTGGCAGTATTCCAGCTGTATGAAGGCAGTCTGCAAATAATCAAGTCTCGGAGCGGCTTGCATACTAAACTAGTCACCTGTAAATAATCAAGTCTCGGAGCGGCTTGCATACTATACTAGTCACCTTTAAATAATCAAGTCTGTACCAGACTACCAAGTGATTGATATTAAGAGAAACAATCCACATCGTCGGGGTCTGTCAACATGCAGTCTACCAAATCACCGAGACTAACGACTTGATTCTTTATTATCTTATCCCCCTCCTGGAAGTGGAAGGGGAATACAGGCGTGGGTACTGTCCGTCCATCCTTCTGTCTGTACGTCACGTTTCTAAAAAAATGAGAGATATCTTAATCAAACTTGCCAATAGGTCTGGTGGTTAACTGGTGCCTTTTGATAGTGAGGTTTTAAAAAAAATATATATATTTTTCGAGTTTCCGTAACGACTTTGACTTAGACTGAAAATGGGGGTAGTGCTCGTTTCTCGAGGGCTAATGCCTTGCACACAACCAGACATGTCGTATTGGCGGGGATATGAGTATCTCATGCTTGTTCTTTTTGTGACCAAGTTGCTGGGACATATTGGAACCTGGCATCCCACAGGGAACTGAAACAGGAATATTTGGTATATGTTAACATTGCGCACAAAGGAGCTGTTGCATTTTACATAATAAAATATCCTTTATTTATATATTTATTTGAGAGTAATGTTTTTACATCCATTGCTTATTGTGAAGGTGGGAGTTAATATGTCCTGCCTATAGAGTAGTATCACTAAATTGTCTTGATGTTGACCCTGGGTCATCAGACTCCCTGATAAAGATCTGTCTTTAGAAAAACGAGTGGAACTACCAGTGGTCTTATTTATAGATTGGATGAAAGGGATGACTGATCCTGAGTTCCGCAGCAGCACATTTGTGTTCAGTCACCCAACAGTCACTTCAGACACCTGGAAATATCATGTTTGTCACACTGTGATATGACAGTACACTGTTTGTTAAAAACATATTTTCAAGTTTTTCAATAAATGAATTCATAATTAAATCTTGTGTTTGTATTTCATGCAGTTTGTGATTGAGAGCCCTGACACATACTGTTTGTTATTATGTTGCATAATCTATGTGTACTTCTACTCTTGAGTAAGTGTCCACCCGGAGCGGAAGGTCCGGGGTTCGATCCCAGGCCGCGTCATACCAAAAGACGTTAAAAGATGGTACTTGTTGTTACCCTGTCTGGCGCTCTGCATTAAGGGGTTAAAGCAAGGACTGGTCGGCTCGGAGTCAGTATACTGTGTCTGAGTGGGGTATTCATGTTAAACTGCGGCATGGTATCTCAGTGAGCTAGCACTATAAATCGGCATCAGTCAGGACTAGTACAAGCAGCCACACAAACACACACACGTACATGCATGTCGCTATATAAGTGCAATAATCTTGGACGCGACATTAAACCCAATTTCACCTCACCTCACCTTGAGTGAGTGGGTGAGTGAGTATGGTCTTACGCTGCTTTTAGCAATATTCTATTAATATCATGGCACTGGACACCAGAAATGAACTTCACATATTGTACCTATATGGGGAATCGAACCTGGGCCTTTGGCGTTACGAACAAATACCTTAACCAGGAGGCTACCACTCCGCCCCTCTATTCCTGCAGGTGCTCTTGTAGAACCATCCTAGTGGTATTTGACTACACAATGGCTCACTGCTGGTGTTACTTCCCCTGATATGTCTGTAAGCCGTGTTAACCCTCAATTCCTCACAGATGATGTTTTTTGTGAGTGAGTTAATGCTTTACATCGCAATATTTCAGCCATATCTTGACGAGTGTTTTTTGGGTGTGATAAATTCATCATTTAGTATTGAAACAGTCATTTTATTAATAAATACACCATCTTATTACAACTTCAGAGACCCGTGAAGATTCCGGGGTAGAATAGGTCTTCAGCAACCCATACTTGCGTAAAAGGCGACTATGCTTGTCGTAAAAGGGGACTAACGGGATCGGGTGGTCAGGCTCGCTGACTTGGTTGATACATGTCATCGATCCCAAATGCGTGGATCGATGCTCATGATATTAATCACTGGATTGTCTGGTCCAGAGTCGATTATTTACACTGCCGTCATATAGCTAGAATATTGCTGAGTGCTGCGTTAAACAACAAACCAACCAACCAACATCTTCAGATGTCTGACCCTACGGCCTCTGTCTGACTCTGTAGTTGCACCACAGACATGTAAAGCTAAGGTCAGCGATCATATGTCAGTGACGGCCTCCATGGTTTAGTGGTAGAGCGTCCACCCGGAGTTCGGGGTTCCATCTCGCCGCGTCATATCAAAAGACGTCAAAAGATGGCGCTTATGGACAATGCGTGACGCTCAGCAGTAAGTGGGTAAAACAAGGACTGCTCAGCTCCAAGTCAGTATGCTGTGTCTGAGTGGGGTATTCATGTTACACTGCAGCATGGTATCTCCGTGGTCTAACACCATAAACTCGGCATCACTGGTCTGGGCTCCATATGAACTTTACTTGTTTATTTGGTGGATATGTTTTTTAATGAGGCATCTTTATTTCCGGGATGGGGGGCGTAATTAGTTCGAAACGTTAGCAACTTAGTAACATCCGGGTTAGAATAGGTCTTCAGAAACCTATGCTAACGGGATCCGGTGGTCAGGCTTGCTGACTTGGTTGATGCACGTCATCGTATCTCAAACGGAAGATCGATGCTTTTGAACTGGTCCAGACTCTATTATGTACAGATCGCCGTCATATAGCTGGAATATTGGAGCGTTAAGGACTTAGGGACGCGACTTAGTACAATGAATTTCTGCAACTAGACCACACGTGCCCCTTAGACAAGAAGAAAGTAGTATTTGATGCAAATATTTTTTATCCCCAATCTCCTGTCGAACCAGTGTGTCCATCTTGTATACTATATCGGATTAACATTGCACTTTATGCACGACCAGACGCCATATTGATATAGCTCCTCTCGGATATCGTGACATACCCGGGTCAATGGGTACTTCAACCATGGGTAATAAACGTCAACGGACCACAAAGGATGACTTGCTAAATGTCGCCAACTCGAGCGTTTGGAAGTGAAAGCATTGATTACCGTAATAGTCAGATCAGTGGAAGGGGCGTGACTTCCGACTTCTGTCACTCCTTTGTAGTTAATCCATCCAGCAAACCTCAAACACTTGCACTACCCTGCTGGGCGACCATGACCTTGTCTGCTTTGTTGCACTGTCACGGCACACAACGGCGGTGGCGGTGACGACGTGATCATCGGTGAATGATGGATCTCAGCAAGGGTAATTGAATACATGGCTTCTTGTCAACAAGACCGCCTCCTTGATCCTGTGGTAGAGCGTTCGCCCGGAGAGCGGAAGGTCCGATGGTACTTGTTGTTACCCTGTCTGGCGCTCGGCATTAAGGGGCTAAAACAAGTACTGGTCGGCTCGGAGTCAGTATACTGTGTCTGAGTGGGGTATTCATGTTTAACTGCGGCATGGTATCTCAGTGAGCTAGCACTATAAATCGGCATCAGTCCGGACTAGTACAAGCAGCCACACAAACACATACTCGTACATGCACGTCGCTATATAAGTGCAATAATCTTGGACGCGACGTTAACCCAATTTCACCTCACACCTCTTGTCAACAAATCAATGGGTTAAACGTATCCTGTTGATGTCCTCTCTAAAAATACCCCCGTGATTCTCGGGAAGAAATGTCCCTTTTCTCCATGCTGGTCCCAGCGCTTATGATGTGTGATCTGGCCATATGTCATCGTATCTCGACGGTGTGGTCGGCGTTCATGATATCAACCACTGGTTTAATTTACGAGATACGAGACCCGTGAAGATCCGGGTAAGAATTGGTCTTCAGTCGCCCATGCCTGTCGTAAGAGGGACTAACGGGATCGGGTGGTCAGGCTCGCTGACTTGGTTTGATGCATGTCATCGGATCCCAAATGCGTTGATCGATGCTCACGATGTTAATCACTGGTCTGGTCCAAACTCGTTTATTGTGCGACCTTAAACAACAATGAAAACAAAACGATTTTACTACTGAGCGCTCTGATGCAACCTTCAGGTATGTTTA